CACTTTGAAGTAAAGGCCAACAGACCATGCCTTCCCTCTTACCCGCTGCATGTGGACGTTGGCTTTTTATGGTTGACGCATGAAGACCCCGTAATCCCTCTTTTTGCTGTCTTTCCACTGATTCCACTACTACTGGTTTCAATTTATCTGTCTAACTTTTCTCATCAAAGAATTCTGACAAATGCTGTGTCTGCTTCATTGTGTTTTGTATTTCTAAATGCTTTACTATTACATACTAATAATTGACTATGTTTTCCCAATGACAGATGTTATTGCTAATTGGCCTATAGGTATCTATATTTTGTTTCCCTTTTTGAAAAAGAGAGTTTGTCAAGACCATTTTTTTTCTGTATTTTTGATTACCTACTAAATTGGGAAAAGAACTGGTTGAACAATAAGTTACCTGATACTCATTGTAAGTACAACATTTTCTGTCAACCCAGATTTAGAAGACTGGTAAATTGGGGAATTCTGAGTACTTCTAAACATTTGCAATTTTTGTGATGACTCTGGGAATGCTGGGAATTGATTTCCTGTATGCTGCCCCAGTGAGGTGTAACTAAATTTTGGGGGATTTGTCCATGTTTGATTTGAGTCACAACGATGAGGATTTGGGATGTGATGTTCGTATTTAAGACATGGCATTAGAAATAGTAAAGGATTTCCTGCATGTGGCAGCATTGTTCCTGGCAGTGTCTGAACCTTTCAAAACCCCGGTTGATTAATTTGGCAGGTAAAGTGAAAGTAGCATTGCCTGGTAGAGCTAAGGAGACGGTGGTAATTGAGGTACTCGCACAGCTGCTGTTTAGAGGATGTACAGGAGAAGTCACGTATTCTGGATAGTGAATTCAGGTGATATTCAGTTATGGTCAAAGCAGCTTGAGCATGAGGAGAAAATGAAGAAACTCAAAATGGTAGAAGAAGACCAGGAAAAAGCAGAAAAGCATGAGGGAATAGAATTGACAAGAATGAAAATGAGAAAATTAGAATTAAAACTTCAAGAAAGAGAAAAAGCAAGGGAATATAAATATTAGCTTGAAAAGATGCATTTGAAACAGGAGCTGACAGATGGTGATGCAGATTGCAGGGGGAGAATTTGAGTCATAATTTAAAGTCCAGTGAGGAAATGTTTAAGTTTGCATGGACCCTACCAAATTCGAGGAAATGGATGTGGAGGCACTCTTCATGTTATTTGAGAAAGTGGCTAGAAAGTAATTGGGAAAAAGAGGACTGGGCAATGCCCATGCAGAATGAGTTCACAAAAAAGCACAGGAAATTTATGCTTCCTTTTCAGAGCAGCTTTGTTGGGATTATGGAACTGTGAAGAAAAATACATTGGCTGCATGCGAGTTAGAGCCCAAGGCAGGTAGGCAAAGATTCTGGTATTTAAGGAAGCAGCCTGGGCAAATGTGTATTGAATTTGAAAGGGTTAAGCAAGGTAATTTTGACTGGTGGATATGAGTGTTAGAAGCTGAAGCCAGTCGTGAAGCTGATAACAGAGATTATTCTCTTAGAAGAATTTACAACTCTGCCTTCCACAGTAAGAATCCACGCTGGGGAGCAAAGCGTTGCAACTGTGAGATGAGCAGCAATAATGGCTGACATAATAAGCTGAACCATTAAAAAGGAGATTGTATCAGAGATAGTAGGAACTGCAGATGCTGGAAGATCTGAGATAACAAGGTGTAGAGCTAGATGAACACAGCAGGCCAAGCAGCATCATAGGAGCAGGAAGGCTGACGTTTCGGGCCTAGACCCTTCATC